GTGAGGGAAGATTATTCCCTGCTGGGCCTTCTGGACTCTCCCCACAGGAATCCCCCCCACCCCAGCCCTTGGGCTGCTCACAGGGCACATGATATTCCCAGATGGAGGCACAGCTCTGTCCTGCCAAGCCCACCTGGTGCTGGGTGTTAAAATCCTTATTTAAATCACTCCCCGAACTCCTGGTACAGTCAAATCCCTGGATTTGTGTCCCTATGGACACAAAACCCCCTCGACCAACCCAACCCAGGTCACTGTGGGAGCAGGGAATGCTCAGTTCCTGTGGGATTGCTCCAAGGGCCGTGGGGGGGGATGTTTGGGACACCCCAGAGCTCCTGGATTTGCTCCCTGTCCGATGCTGGGAGTGAGCAGGAATGTTCCAGGCGAGCAGGACCACTCCAGCTCCTGCTGCCTCCCTGCTCAGTTCCATCCAGGACCCTCTCCAGGCTCCCTGGTTCCATACCAGTCTGGTCCCTGCCTCCTGAGCTCTGTCCCAGATCTCATCCCTGCCATCCTGGCTCCATCCCTGTGTCCCAGGCCTTGTCCTGGGGCTGTCCCTGTGTCCTGAGCCTCATCCCAGGGACAATTCCTGACTTTTGCCTGTGTCCCAGACACATCCCAGGCTTTGTCCCTGGCTCTCAGTCCTTGTCCTGGGCCTGTTCCTGCCTCCCCAGTTTCATCCTGGGCCTTCTCCCTGTGCCCTGAGCCTTGTCCTGGGCCTGTTCCTGCCTCCAGCCCCTCATCCTGGCTCTGTCCTGAGCCCTGCTGTGGGACTATCCCTGTCCTGTGCCCTGTCCCAGGTCTGATTCTGCCTCTTGTGTTTCATCCTAGGCCTTCTCCCAGTGTCCTGAGCCTTATCCCAGGCTTTCTCCTCACGCCCTGAGCATTCTTCTGGGCATGTTTCTGCCTCTTGTGTCTCATCCTGGGCCTTCTCTGTGTGCCCTGAGCCCCATCCTGGGGCTGGTCCCTGACTCCTGCCATGTCCCAGGCCTGTTCCTGCTTCCTGGGCCTTCTCCCTGTGTCCTGAGCCTTATCCTGGCCTTTCTCCCCATGTCCTGTGCCTCATCCTGGGACTAGTCCTGGCCTCTTTCCCTGTCCTGTCCTGCCCCCTGGGCCTCATCCTGGCCCTTCTCCCGGTGTCCTGGGCCCCACTCCGAGGCCAATCCCTGCCTCCTGCCCTGTCTGGGCCCGATCCTGCCTCCTGGGCTTTCTCCCTGGGTCCTGGGCCTTCTCCTGGATCTGTTCCTGCTTCCTGTGTTTCATCCTGGGCTTTTTCCCAGTGTCCTGAGCCTTACCCCAGGCTTTCCCCTCATGTCCTGAGCCTTCTCTGGGGCCTTTCTGTGTGACCTGAGCCTTGTCCTTGGGCTGGTCCCTGACTCTTGCTTTGTCCCAGGCCTGTTCCTGCCTCCTGGGCTTTGTCCCCACCTCCAACACCTCATCCTGGGACTAGTCCTGGCCTCTTGCCCTGTCCTGTCCTTCCCCCTGGCTCCCATCCTGGCCTCTCTCCTGGTGCCCTGGGCCCCATCCTGAGGCCAATCCCTGCCTCCTCATCCTGCCTCCTGGGTGTCCTGAGCCTTCTCCCAGGCTCTCTCCCAGTGTCCTGAGCCTTCTCCCAGGCTCTCTCCCAGTGTCCTGAGCCTTCTCCCAGGCTCTCTCCCAGTGTCCTGAGCCTTCTCCCGGGCTCTCTCCCAGTGTCCCGAGCCTCGTCCTGTGCCCGTTCCTGCCTCCCGTGTCTCATCCTGAGCCTTCTCCGCGTGTCCCGAGCCCCATCCTGGGGCTGCTCCCAG